TTTTTTTTTTTTTTTTTTTTTTTTTTTTTAAAGTCCCATGTATTACAGCTGCTGAACTGTTGTATTTTGTCTTTAAAAGTTCGTTTCCATCCCAGAGCAGTATTAGCTGCTCTGGGTATTTAGTTTTGTGAGCAAGGACAAATCTGGGTAGCTGTCGTGGTGTTTTTATTTTTATCAGATTTGGATGTGTGGTTGAGAGCCCAGCAAGTCTACAAGACTTGGCCAGGAGCAATGGGGCTGTGCTCTGCAGTGCCCTAGGGGTGGCTGAGTGGCTGCTCCCCTCAGGCTGCACACGGCTTGGGGACCCCTCCTCTGGGTGGGGGTCCTTGCCCTCCGCTCTGCAGGCTCTTGAGCTCTCTGTGTCCTGGGGCTGTCCTGCATATGTAGGAGTGCTCTGGGTGCCGAGAAAGGCCCCAAGGGGAGTTGCTGTGGGGAAGGTGGCACTCCGGGTCCCCTGCCTGGGGTCCTCTTGGGAAGTCTGTGGTGCTGGGGCTGTGCAGGTGTCCCTGAGGGAGGGGAGTTGCTGTGCTGTCTGGGAGACTGTCGCTCCAGCTGTTCTGCCAGCATTGAGTGTCCATTCTCTTTGGAGATGGTGACAGCAGCACAGCCCCTGGGAGGATGACATCCCTACCTCCTGTGCCTGGAGGGCTGCGCATCCTCTGTCCCACTGCCTGGTCTCCCTGCCGAGAGTGCAGGCCCTGGCGGCTCCTCTCCTGTGCAGTGAGGCCCTGTGTACAGTGGGGCTGCCTGCTGAGCGGGGAAGCGCCTTGGGGGACCCAGACTTTGCGCAGGACGTGACAAGACTCACTGGGGGTGACGGGAAGGTGTGGTGCACCTGGCATGGCCTAGGTGATAGTGCCTTGGGTGGACACAACTCTGCAGAGCACGGGCCCAGCTGGCATGTGGATCCCCTTCCGTGGTCTGGACCTAACCGCTTGGGAGGAGATGGCAATGCATCCCACCTGGGTGTGTCCGGGGCTCCCCCTCTGTCTGCTGGGACCTGGGTGCACACCAGCAGGGAGCAGGGCACGTCACATGTGTGTGTTTGCCCACCCTGTGGCCTGGCTCGGCGGCTGCTGGGTTTCCTGTCTGTTGGGCTGGGAACATCAGTGTGGTGTGGCTGGCTGTGCATGGTTGGTGTGAGAGTGGTAAGGATGTGCACAGCTCACTCTGGAGATGGCGCTGTCGGGGTGCTTGGGCCCTGCCTTTCAGCAGAGCTGGCACTGTGGGTAGAGCTCATGAGCTGCCCGCCCTCCTCAGGTCCCTCATGATGCCTCGCCCCGTGCGCGGCTGGGTGTTTGCCAGCACAGGTGGGGTGCAGGGTGCGCACTGTGCAGATGTGGCAAGTCCAGATGGGGAGGGGTCTCCCCTTGTTCCCTGGGCCTGAGAGCTTGATAGGACAGACCTGGTGATGTTGTGTGGGGATAGTGGACTCCGGGAGCGGGTGCTGCCCAGGGGCGTGATGTCCCTGTTCTGGGTCATGCAACTCCCATACTCGTTTAATTTCCTGCCTTGGACCGCCCCCCAGTGGCTCCTGTACTTTAGGTAGGTAGCACACCATGTGTTTCCCAGTAGGGCCCTGCCTGTCCCTTGGACCACACCACCCATTGACTGCTGTGGCCAGGGCTGCCCTGGGAAACTGGTGGTCCCTGAGGGGTGGCACCTCCATGGTGTGCGCTGTGACCACACGGAGAGAAGACAGCAGGGATGCAGCCGTCCGTGCCCAGGGATGAATGCCAGAGGCCCTGAAGCTGCCTTGGCTCCCAGCTGTGCGAGTGCGCCGCGGGGCAGAGTCTGCTGGCGCATGGTTCTCCAGCTCTTCCCTGGAGGCTGTTCTTGGCTCCCTGGTGTCCCAGATTTCTGAGGCTGTTCCCCTGGCCCCACCAGGTCCTGAGAGCAGGGACCCAGCCTCATCTCGTCCGGTGTCAGCAGCAGCCACTGCAGCAGGGGTGGTTGCTCTTGGGTGAAAGGGCCGATTTCTGGGAGCTCCTGACTTCACCCAGCAGACTTAGCTAAGAGAAGGCTCCCCTGGAGACATTGCACCTGCTGCACGCAAAGCGAGTGTTGTGACTTTTCTAGAACTTGCAGGAGGACTCTGGTAGCTTGAGTGACGGCTGAGAGGACTTGAGTTCCGTAGCTTCCCTTCGAACTAGTTAAAGCGGTGTGGTCACTCGGCTCACTGTGCACTCCGCTCCTAGACGCTGTCCCGCCCGTAAAGCCTGAATCAAGGTGTGAGGTCTGTTTTCAAGGTTTGTTTGTTTGTTTTCAAGGTCTTGTGGTCTGATTCTTCAGTAACAGCTGTAACCAGATCTTCCTCAGAAGTGACCGAGTTCATTTCGAAGGTAAGTTGATGAAGGGCTCTCGTATTGACGTGAACACCATCTCCCCATGTCCTCAAGCTGTTCCTGTCCACAGTGCCACCCCTGCAGACAGGAGGAGGCAGGCTGGGGTGCCTGCTGCTCCTTGTGTCTTGGAGACATTCTTGTGGACTCCTGCCCATAGAACCTTGGCCTTTGGCTGGTCTTTGGCCTGGGTGTTTATAGTGGCTAATGTTTACCCTGCTTGGGTCTTTGACCTCCTTGAGTCTCTGGTTGTGGTCTTCCATCAGCTCTGGAGAATTTTCATGTGATACCTCCTAAAGAGTCTCCTCTTCCCTCACTCCTCCTGGGACTCCTCTCCTGCTTTGGTTGCTTGTGCGCTCAGTGTTGCCATTTGGGCAGTCGCCCTTGCCCTTGTTGAAGGCTTCTGGTGTTCCCCTCGCTCTGCCCAGGCAGTTGTGGAGCCAATTGAAAGTGCTGCTCCTTGTTTCCGGCCCTGTGGTGATGTTATATTCCCCAACTTTTGACGTGACTCATAGTGAAATGGTAATCACTGCTGGAAATCGCCCCTTTCATGCAGCTGTCCATATTTTTTGCTAGGTCCTTTGGACATGAGCCATGGTCACTTTACAGTCCCTCTTTGAATTTCCAACAACTGGTTAACTTCTGAGTCTCATTTTAGTGATGGCGTTTATCTCTTGACAGTTGTTTTATCCTTTTTGTATGTCTTGCAATTTTTTTTTTTTTTTTATGTATTGGGGATCAAATTCGGGTTCTTGCACTTACAAGGCAGGCAGCAGAACCACTGAGCTAAATCCCTGGCCCATGTCTTACAAATTTTGACTGAATGTTAGATATCATGTTTGTAAAGCTACAGAGACTGAAGAAACAGCACTAATGCTTGTGATGAGAATGCCTCTTCACCAGGGCATCAGTGGGGTCCTTAGGTTAATCTCGGCAGGAGTGTTTGGCTGGGGGTGAGTTGTGAATGGCTGTTGCCGCCTGAGCCTAGAGATTCCTGGGTGCTGCAGGCTTCCCTTCCACGGCCCTCACACTGAGCTCTTGCCTGTCCTTGTTTACCTGGGGTGCAGAGAGGTCTTTCCCCTGTTTGACTTCCCAGAGCTAGTGCTGCGCCTGTGGGGGTGAGGGGAGGAGTCTCGATTCTCAGTCAGCCTCTGTCCTAGGCACGGGGCCTTTGTACACGGTACTGAGGCAAGGTGTCACTGTTCTGACCTCTGCTTTGTGTTGGGCGCAGGGTCCTGTGCCCTTCCTTCGGGGGTCTTGGGTTTTCCAGCTTTCCTTCACTGTGGCCTGCTGGCACAGGCAGAGAAGAATTGCCCCCCACCGCTACTCCAGAAACTGGGGCCTTCTCTTGTTCCAGGGCCAGGAGCTGTTCTTGTCCCCCACTCCACTGGCCAAGGGCTTTTGCCTTGGATGGGGGTGGGGTTCTGAGGACAAGTACAATGGCTTGTGCCTCTCCCCTCAGGGGCCTCCCAGGAAGGGCCTGGAGGTGAGGCTACCTGCATGCTGTGGGGTGCATCCACCTCCACCCCTCTCTTCTGACCTCCAGGGGTGTGGGTGAGGTAGCATGGGTCGTGTCACTTCTGGGGAGGGGGCCCTTTTGAAATTCAGTTCCGAAGGCGGCTTGAGGCAGTTCAGCCTCTGGCGGGCATGATGGAAGTTTGGGTCAACCACTGAGGGCCATGGTGCTGTGTGGGGTGTGTGTGTTCTGCTGTGGTTCTTCCTGAATCCTGAGGGTGTTGAAGCCAAGTCAGCTACTGGTGGAGGTGATGCCCCCGCAAGCCTTCCCCACACTGAGGGCCTCTGCCAGTGCGCTGGGCCCTCACGAGCCTCCTGACTCATCTTCTCTTCCAGTTATCCCAGCTCTGCCCTGAAGAGAGCCTGGAGAAGCTCATTCCCTGCCTGGCGGGCCCGGACTCCTTCTACGTGGAGCGGAACCACATGGACCTGGAGGCTGGCCTGAGGTGGGTGAAGCTCCTGCCTGGGCTGCGGCCGTCCCAGTCGGTCTCCAGCAGCCTTTGGCCTCGGAGTCCCGAGAGCTGGAGCATTTGAGGACTCAGAATTCCCTTAGGGTGTGGGGGGCGTGGAAGGTCTGGGGTCTGAGCTGAGGCTGACTCAGGATAGAGATGGGCCTGACCCTGAGCCCCAGGCCAGGCCACCTGCCACCACCCTGGCTGCCGTTGACACACCTGTGACTTGGCTGGCCATCGCCTATCAGAGTGGCACATTTGGGTGGCACCAGTGCCTCTAGCACAGGTCCTCGTAGTACTTCATGCAGTGCAGAGGTAGGAGGAGGGATTCGGAGGAGATACAGGCAGGAAATTAAAGCAGGAGCCCAGGCGCACCGGTGACCCCAGCATTCCCGGAGGCTGAGGCAAAGGATTACAAATTTGAGCTCTGCCTGAGCAACTTTGCGGCTTAGCCAGATCCTGTCTCAATATAAAAAAATTAAAAGATTAAAAAAAAATGGGCCAGGGATTGTAGCTTGATCCAAAGGGGCCCAGGGTATTTTTCAGTACTATAAAAAAAATTAAAGGAGGCACTGTAATTAAAATTATGGCACTTCTATTTATTTTTTCTCTGGTATCTTTTTCTCTTAACTAAAAATTAAAATTCCTCCCCAGTTGGTTTTTGTTAACGCTATCTTAATGCTGATAAAACTTGAATTTTCAGGTATTTGGCTTCATTACCTTCTCATGTATTAAAAAACGACCATGTTAAGAAATTTTTCAGCACTTCGTCTTCTATCCAACAGCTTCAAAGTCCAAGTGAGTTTGTAATATGATTTAGACATAAACCAAGGCATTTTTACCGCACCTAACTATTAGTGCGATTTATTTTCTGACTTCCAGGTCCTGGCAACCCCTCCCTCCCTAAGGTGGGCGCCATGGTGGGCGCGTCTGGAAGGTGAGGCTGCGCTCATTTGTTTCTGGAGGGAATTGGGGTTCAGCCTCAGCTGGGGGAGCAAGAACCCACTTCATGGTGTCCTGGGAGTGCTCTGCGGTCAGTTTTACGTTCTGATTGAAGCACATGGCCGTGTTACTCAGGAATAACGCAGACGGCCCAGCCTGAAGCCTGGTGGCGATGCTGTGTACCCTGTACCCCTGCGGGCATCCTGTTGGCGGGGCCCTGACGGCCTGCGTTTGCAGTGGGAGGGTGCTGGGCACCCGTCGGGAAGTGGACTGGCCTCTTGCCAACTGTGTGCCTGCCTCTCCCCATCCCCAGGCCTGTGTGTGGTGTGGCTGGCGTCCCGTCCTCTCAGAGCGGCACCCAGCACCACCTGCAGCACGCGGCCGGCGCGGGCTCTGTGCTGGCCTACCGCACCCAGGTGGACACCGCGCCTGCCATCCTCATGCCCTCGGGCCTGCAGGCCCCGCAGCCGCCGGAGCAGAACGGCATCTTGGATTGGCTGAGGAAGCTGCGGCTGCACAAGTACTACCCAGTCTTTAAACAGCTCACCATGGAGAAGGTATGTGGGTGCTCTTGGCGCTGCCCCGGGGGCCCAGTGTGGCTGGTGCCCTGGGCTGAGGAGCTTGACCCACTGAGGGGCTCTGCCATTCCGGGCAGAGGGTGGGAGCTCACACGGGTGGCACAGCAAGCCCCTCCCGCTTTGCAGCAGAGAACCTGACAAGGAGTATGTTGTTGCTGCTGCTGCTAAAATTCTGAAGTGTTTTCAGCCTTGGGGTTACTTGGTAAAGTAGTGTTACAAGGTATTTGAACTCTGAACTCTGCCTGCTGGAGGAGAGGGCTCAATTCAATGGCTGTTACCTGTGGAAACTTCGTGTGTCCAGAGTTTGACTGTTGAACCTAGAAGTGAAGCTTTTGCTACATAGTAAAAATTAGCTTTTAAGAATAGTTGTAATAACCAGGCTTGGTGGCATAAGCCTGTAATCCCAGCACTCAGGAGGCTGAGGCAGGAAGGTCACTGTGAGTTCGAGATCAGCCTGGGCTACATAGTGAGCTCCAGGTCAGTCTCAACTACATAGTGAGACCCTGTCTCAAAAAAAATTCAGAAAGAATATTTGTAATAACCTCAGTTTAAGATTTTTTTGGGCGTTTTGAGCCATGGTCTTGCTCTAAGTGTTTAGGCTGGCCTTGAATTTAATACGTAGCTCAGCCTGGCCTCTACCGTCATGGTCATCCTGCCTCAGCCTCCCAGCTTGGGCCTGCCTGGGCTATATAGTGAGACTGTGTCTCAACCAAGCAAAAAACATTTTAAATCTTATAAAATGAGATTTATCCAGGTTGGTAGAGTATACCTATAATCCCAACTACACAGGACACTGAACCAGGAAGGTGAGTTTGAGGCCATCCTGAGCAACTTAGCAAGACCCTATCTCAAGATAAAAAGGGCTGGGAGTGTACCTCAATGGTAGAGCACTTGCCTAGCATGGCTGAGGCCCTGGGTTCTGTCCCTACTGCCAACAACAACAACAACAACAAAACAAAAACCAAAGATTTCAATCGGTTTAAGTTTTCTAAGAGTGGAAGTGGCTCAGTTGCCAAGTGTGTCCCAGAGGGCGTGAGCCCGCATTCCGTGGGTGGCCGCACCACATTTGGACACAGCTTCTCTCCTGGCCGGTTTGCTCCCTGCCTGCATTGCCGTCGTTGCTGAAGGACCCCAACGTGCGGGTACCCAGGCTGGCGGCTCCCAGCAGGGTCTCCTCAGTGTGGGACCCTGCTAGGGAGGGTGGGGCCTCTCTGTGGCAGTAGGCACTGTGACTCCTCGAGTCACCTGCAAACACAGCACATCCTGGCAGGTGACTGGCCTGCACGGAGCAGGGGCCGCCCGGCGCTGGCCATGTGCCATCTGCGCCCAAGGCGAGGGGGGGACTGCAGCATGTGGGCACAGCGAGTGTGCCGCTGCCTCATCAGGTTTGGCCCGATGACAGATCCAAGAGGTGGAGGGAGCCTCACACAGCTCTGAGCGCGCCGTTCCTGGAGTCCACAGGGAGTGCAGTAACTGTGTGGTGTTTCTTCTCACAAGTTTCTGAGCCTGACCGAGGAAGACCTGAATAAGTTTGAGTCCCTCACCATGGGAGCAAAGAAGAAACTGAAGACCCAGTTGGAGCTGGAGAAGTAAGTGTGAGGCTGTGCAGCTGCAGGGCAGGAGACAGGTGTCTGGGCTGCCTCTGAACCCTTGCCCTCGCGAGGCTGAAGCCCATGTGCCGGGGAGGCGCGGGGAGCTGATGCTGCCCATCCTGTGCTCTCGCGTCTTGTAGGGAGAAGTCAGAGCGACGGTGCCTGAACCCCACGGCCCCACCCTTGGTCACCAGCAGTGGAGTGGCCCGAGTTCCCCCCACAAGCCACGTGGGGCCCGTGCAGACTGGACGCAGCAGCCATGCGGCAGGTGTGTGGGGTGCAGGTGTGGGGCGCAGGTCTGGGGCCGGCAGGCAACGCGGAGGTGTGGTTGTTCCTGGCTGGGAGCTGGGCTGCCCCGTGTGGTCCCGTCTTCGAGCTCCTCCTCCTCTGTGTCCACCTGTGTAGTGGCTAGCATGGGAAGCGGGCAGGACGAGTGGGACAGAGGGGCCCTGGTGAATTGCTGGAACTTGTTTGGGGAAAGCGTTAGGTGCAGAGCTACCGTGCTGAGCTTGGGTGGCTGCAGTCGACAGGGCTGGGGAACGCAGCCTGTCCCTGCTTCCTGCTCCTGGCCAGCACAGCTCACTCTTGGCCTCCGGCTCTGAGCCCCGAGGGCTCACGACTCCGTTTCTCAAGTTCCTCTCATCCCTCTCTGGGGAGAGGCTGGGACACCTGTGATAGTCACCCGTGTCCTACGGAGGGAGTAGAAGAGGCAGGGGCAATAAATACGGTTGTAAATCAGGAGGAAACCAGTGCCAGTGTGTCCTAAGTGGTTATTCAGCTCAAGGGGTCTCGTGTCACTTGGCCTGGGTGACCTGTGCGTGTGGTAGGGAGGACTTGAGGGCCACAGCATGGCACTGTCCTGGGAGTCCGAGTGCTGCTGGGGTGCAGGGTCCCGTGCGGCCTGACTTGTCGGGTCGGGGATGGTGCCACCGACGCTGACCGCTCTCTGTCCACAGAGCTGCGGGTGGAGGTGGAGCAGCCTCCTCACCAGGTGCCCCGGGAAGGCGGCAGCTCCTCCGAGTACTCCAGCTCCTCCTCCAGCCCCATGGGTGTGCAGGTGCGCGAAGAGAGCTCGGACAGCGCCGAGGAGAACGACAGACGTAAGGCCCCCGGCTCCCGCCGTGCTGCCCCCAGCCCGGGTGGGCGAGGCGCTGACCGCTCACGTGTGTCTGCAGGTGTGGACGTGCACTTGGAGGGTTCCGACAAGGAGAAGCCCGTCATGCTGCTGAGCCACTTCCCCTCGACCTCCAGGCCCACAGCCCAGGTCCTGCCTGTGCAGAACGAGGCTGGCTCCAGCCCGGCGGGCCACCACCCCTTGGCCACGCACCTGGCCCCGATGCGGATGCTGAACTCCGTGCACAAAGCAGAGCGGGGGGGCCCAGACGTGAAGCTCCCCTCATCCTCCATGCACCCGCTCCTGCCTCTGGAGGAGAGGGGCAAAGGGCCCGGGGCCCGGGCCGGTGTGAAGGTGGACAAGGGCTTCGGCGGTGCGGTGCTGGACACACTCCCCCCGGCGGCGCCACACCCGCCTGTGCAGGTCCTCTCGGGACTTTCGGAGAGTAGCGCCGTGTCCCCGACCGTCTCCTTCGGTCCCCGGGCAAAGGTGGTACACGCGGCCACCCTGGACAGGGTGCTGAAGACAGCACAGCAGCCGGCCCTGGTGGTGGAGACCAGCACGGCGGCCGCGGGGACACCCAGCACCGTGCTGCACGTGGCTCGGCCGCCCATCAAGCTGCTGCTGTCGTCCTCTGTCCCCGCAGAAGCCGCCGCCTCAGGGCAGACGTCCTGCCCCAACAGCGTGCAGATCAGCGTGGCGCCCGCAATAATCAGTCCCC